CACACACACACACACACACACACACACACACACACACACAATTTCAGGTGACTACAACTGTTAGTTGATTTCTACAACTTCTTCTTAACCTAATCTGAGATGGTAGCTAACTTTACAAATCTGTTAAAAAACTAGGCCGAACCCTGAAGTTGTTTCACTGAACCCTCAGTAATGCTTCATGCTACTGGCCTCTGAGAAAGACTTTAAAGCACAGCACCTACAATGTTGGTGTTCTGTTTGGTGACTTAACCTCACAATGCAGCTGTAACAGGTTAGAGTTCGATGAGGCTTCACGTGCCACTTCTTGATCAACAACATTTGGTTTATGAGAACAGGAATGCCAGAAGAAGCTGGATCACAAACTGTCTCTGGATGCCTACCTGCTGAAGCCTGTCCAGAGGATCACCAAATACCAACTCATGCTGAAGGTGTGTTATGTGGTTATAAGATGTAATTTAAAAGGAACTAACCAATTAGTTCAGTACATTAATGTTATTTTTTATTCTTTGTATTTATTAGGCTAGTTATCATGCTTCTAATAGATATCCAGTCTCTATTTACCATGAATAATTTAATTTAAAAGATAATTAAACAACCAAGTATTTGATTTTTCTTCTTTTTTTGGTCAGCCTAACCAAAAAAAAACATTTTTACTTTTTATAAAATATAACAGAAGCAAGAATATGAAAAACCTTTTATTAGTCACTTACATTTCATCCTGAACCTAAAGAAAAACCTTCATCACCACTGAAGCTTGCTAAGTCATTGATTTCATTTATTTTAAGTAAAAAAAAAAAAAATCCCATTGAGTCAATTGTTGGTGAGAATGGAAAATAAATAAAGAAAAAGAAACCTGTGACACAACCAGAGTGATGGTTTATTCAATACTAGAGGAACTGTTCCTGGAAAATGAGCTGATATCCACAACGTGATAGCCCTGTTATCTCAGTCTGTGTTTATTATTAATTCTGCCTTTCACCTGCATCTTCTCTCCTCCCCTTCTCCTCTCCTCCTCTTTGGGACTTTAGAAATATTGATATCCAGTCAATTCAGTCCAAATAATTATACTATTCGCATAACCCAAGAAATGATATGAACTGTTATATTTATGGCAAGAAATTTGCCATTATCTTAAACAAATGTTGGGTGAAATATTAGCCATGTTCAATGTAGCAATGTGGAACTGTTGTAGCATTTCGAATAATCTGATGGCTTTTTCATTGGGCCATTGGCATGTCCTGATAAGAGGGAGATATAAGAATCGACCCTATAAGTAATAATAATAATAATGATAATAATAATAATAATAATAATAATAATAATAATAATAATAATAATAATAATAATAATAATAAGTGCATGTGATTTTTGTTCCACGTCACTGTTAGACAGTAGGGTTATATTTCTGATATGGACTGACAAAAGAAGGCGGTCCTAAAGATAGGGAATTTGTCATTAACTATGATTCTACATCAAGATTGACATAAAGTTTATTTGCTCCTCTGTTCTTCTCTTTCTTTGGTTTGTATTTTGTGCCCTTGATCTTTCTAAACCACTTCCACTTTCCCGTCTAACAGGAGATGTTAAAATGCAGTAACGGTGAGGGGATGGCTGAGTTGGAGGAGGCTTTAGCCACCATGCTGGACATCATTAAGTCTGTCAATGACTCCATGCACCAGATAGCAATCACTGGCTTTGAGGTCAGTGTACAGTAGTCATCATCATCATCATTAAAGTTCTGAATGATTTACACTGTGAAAACGAACTTGAGTTAGAGGGCTGTTATTCCACTCTCGTTACTCAGCCTCTAATTCACCGTGTGATGTCAACTGACTTGACTTTCTTCACTTTAGAGCAATCAGATTACTATAACTTGTCACCTTCCCGTTGTGGTACAGTCATGTGAGAAAGTGATCTAATGGAAAGTGTTTGCTTTTTGAAATATTTTAGTGAGCAAAATTGGAATCCTCTTTGTCATAGAGCCTATTGATGAACAGGAAACACTGAAACACATGTTCCAGAATGTGGATGATGGACTTTTTCTAAAAGTGTTTTCCTATGTTTTCTTTCCTATGTTTTTGGGCTTGCTGTGCCATTTGAAAGACGTATTATCCCTGCCAAGAGCGTAGTTCAAGAAACCTGGAAAAACATGTACATCATAAGATGGATCTATTTAGTTATGCAGTAGTACATGTTTTTGTGATTAAAGTCAGTATCATGTAAACCATTTATTCCCATTAAAACAACAACAAACAATGTCTGTTGCTTACATTTTTAAAAGTCACTGGTCACACCATAAATTCAGTGTTAAAACCTGAATCAAATATGTTTAATCAGCAGATTTTTCTGTTTTTTTCACACTACTAATGCTATTCTTTTCTATTACAAGTTTAGCACTGAATGTACCTAACTAGGGATAAAGTAAAAAGAGTTTTTGGGCAAGTCTCAATAGCTTTTGCACACCCGGGCCCTATTTCAGGAAGCCGGTTTAGTGCAAACTCTGAGTAAGTATACCCTGAGTTAACGAAAACTCTGGGTTTTTGGTTTCACAAAGTGAGTTTAGATTAATTCTGAGTGAGTTACTATGACGACACACTCCGTGAAGCTAACCTGCCCCCTAGCAGATTTACTTCAACTAACCCTAACTTTCTCCGCCTCTTTGTCAGAAACCTGACTGTAGGAAGTGTCAGACATGGCGTGCCCTTCCTTGAAGAGCCAGTAGATGTTGAAGCCCAAATTCTCCGCAGAGCTCTCCGCCGGGAGAGAGTGATTAGAGCGCGTTTGGACATTTTATCATTTCCTGATGATTTTCTGTGTGAACGTTACCGTTTTTCAGCACAATCTATAATTTATTTGAATAACATCCTCAGGCCATATATTCGCATGTGACACATCGCGGACATGCTCTCAGTTCTGTACATATTATTTGTATTGCACTTCGGTTTTTTGCAAACGGGAGCTTTCTGTATAATATTGGTGACGCTGAGCACGTTTCCAAGGCTACCGTCTGTCGGGCAGTCAGGAATGTTACAGTTGCACTGAAACGTCTCCTGTACTCGTTTGTGGTGTTCCCCGGTCATAGACCCACAAGATTTATCAAAGAGGGATGCCACAAAATTGCAGGTATCAGGATGAACAAAACTTAATTCATGATGTGGTGATACTTGAACTACTACTTAAATTTTACATTTATTTCACGGTTCCCAGGCGTGATTGGCTGTACAGATGGCACTCACATTCCAATCATTGCTCCTTCAGTAAATGAAGGAGACTATGTGAACAGGAAGTCTTTCCACAGCATTAATGTACAGGTACATAGTTCCCTGTAGCATTTCAAACTAACAAAATTATTTCATTATAGTAATGGATGCTAATTTGTGTTCTCTGCACTGTGAAGATCATATGTGATGCTGCCAACATTATCACAAATGTGGAAGCCAACTGCTCAGCCTCTGTGAGTGGTGGTGGTGGAGGACCCCCACCTGTTTTTCGGGCCTCCGCTTTTTTTCTGTTGGCTATAACGGGTCACATTTGAGCATACAGAGTAAGCAAATATGTACTTGTAATGTGCTCAGATAATTTCAATAAGTGCTTACAGAAAGAAAATTAATGTAGCCTCTAACTGCAATTGATTTACATCGGACAAACAGACCAAGCACTATGGCTCATAATACAATTACACCTTACCTGTTTGGACTATATTTTTATATTTCATTTTTACTTGCTGCCAGGAACGTTTGGGGCCTGTTGGGTTGCACCTGCGCTCAAATCACATCACAAAATCAAAATGTATAAATTAATAAAAATAAAATAACATATATAATAAAACGTGTTAAATGGGTGGAAATCCCTAGATCAATGTTTAAATTAACACTCACGCATTGACTCTGTCGGCTATGTTTTGCCATGCATGCTCCCTTTCTTTTGCAGCTGAGGCTGTGTTACTTTTTTCCGCGGAATTTGCATGTTATCGGCATATGCTGCCATCAGAATTTCGGCCTCAAGCGCTGTAAAATACATTGACCGCGCCTTCTTTCCCTCCGTCTCCATGGTGACTCGCTTAATCTGTGCTCCGCTTATCAGGGCTTTATGTATCCTCGTGCGCGCGCTTAACTTGGGGTTAAAGCAACTCCGCGTTGACTGAACTAATTGTTATCAGCCTTTCTGAAACCGAATATTCCGAGTTGGACAGTTCGGGGTTACTCAACCCTGAGTATCGTTTTTCACTCTGAGTTTTCTAAACCGGCTTCCTGAAATAGGGCCCAGGTTTCAAATTTAGGTTTAGAATAACCCTTCAAGTTTTAGCAGTTAATGGAATCTTTTGTGACCTGCCATATTCAGGTCTCCTCATAGATGATATCTGGGCTAAGATGTTTTCTCTGGCAAACATCCAAATTCCTTCTTCCCTTAAATGAGTTGTGATTGACTGGGTGTGGGTGGCGTTACAAATCACTGGGGGTATCTTACCAGTGCCAGCATGCGCATTCAGATCATTGTTAACACATGGAAGTGTTGTACTGTTCATACAAAAAGTATGCTTAAATAATGAGCTTTTGTTGCCAACTTTTTGTGCCATAACTGAACTGAAGCTGTATCAAAACATTTACATGCTAACTAAAAGAATAGTTCATCGCCCCCCCCCCCCCCCACCCCGCCACCACCACCACCACCCAAAAAAAAAAATGTGTTTCACAGATCTGACAGTCTTTTGATGTTTGCAGGGAAATCTGAGTGAACTGGGGAAGCTGCTGATGCAGGGATCCTTCAATGTGTGGACTGACCACAAGAAAGGCCACAGCAAAGTAAATTCCCACACTCCTGTTTTACCAGTGTTGAATATTGCCCTATGGATGTCCTGTCGTTTACCTTAACATTAGTTAATCGCAATGAACAAGTCTGGATACTTTACATTCATTAAGATGCAAGAAAAATAAATACATCCTTCTTAGCTTTACATATTTCAGAGTGAAATAAAAGCAAATAGGAGACCAGTGTGAGATTACCTGTCTGGTTGTCGAGTGGTTGCTGGAGACTGCTGATTGTTGCCAGTGGAAAACAGTTGCAAAGAGGGTGCTGCTGTGAACAATTTTATGCTGCCAACTAGGGATGGGTATCGAAAACCGGTTCTTGTTGAGACCTGGTTCTCACTCTTTCAATTCCTTGGAATCGTTTGCCATTTTTGCAAACGATTCCCTTATCGATTCCAGTCGCCCCGAATGACGTCACCACGTTGCGGAGCGTCATTTACCTGGCAGGAAACACGGCGCCTAAGCGGCTCAAACGCTCAAAAGTTTGGTTACACTTTACGAGAACGGATGACAACAGGACAACTTGCAATACTTGAAAAGTAGATATTTCATTTAAGGGAGGAAACACTACGAATATGCAAAAGCATTTGCTCACAAAACACACGATAACCTTAAATGAATGTTGTGTTTTTAATTCCGCTCCGGACTCGTGAATCTCAACCCAGCAGCAGCGCTAACGTTTGCACGTCCTCTCCCGTTAATGCGGCAGGTAAATAATAAACTAACAGTGCATTTTATGTTAGCGCGATCTGCCTTATTACAAACCTGCCATTACTGTACATTTAGGTGACCATGTTGAGAGAGACAGACAGAGTCTGGCTCAGATGCTGGCAGTTCTCGCTGCAGTCTACCGGTAGCGTCTCCTTTCAGGCCAGGATAGACGAATGTCACAGAGCAGTGACTAAGTTTGTGGTCAAAGGCTTGCATCCATTTGCCACAGCAGATGCCCCGATTTTTGGTAAGTGAATGTGTTTAATTGTAGGCAGGGACATTACTGGATATTCTTGTGTAATTGCTGCAGAATAATTTATATTATACTTTGTTATTGCAACAGAAGAATATTTATTTTATTATTTTACATTTACAATTTTTTTCCCGGGGACCCTGTGACACCCCATTAAAGAGCCGTAGGCTGGATCTCTTAAGATCTCACTGCTGGGTTTGTAAAGCCATGTTACTCCTAAATTTCTATCTTGTTTAAAGAGAAGATGTAAAACAAAGTTCTAAGCTAATCGACCTTAGTGTTCTCCTTTTTAAAAAAGAATCGATAAGAGAATCGATAAAGAATTGAATCGTTAAACAGAATCGAAAATGGAATCGGAATCGTGAAAATCTTATCAATACCCATCCCTACTGCCAGCAACTACCAGTCACTTATGGAACACATTTTTCCATCACAAGCAGAGGTTGCCAGATGATTGCTGACAGGTCTCTAGGCTTAATTAATCTGCAGCTACAGTTTACCTTTCATAAACAAGGCTTTGTATGGCCTTTACTGCAGAACCTCGATCACTTTTTTTTTTCTTTTCAGAGGAAACAGTAGCTCTATAATTTGATGTGTCAAATTATGACAATCACTCTAAAACACTTTGTGGAAACCGGATCAGTTGTGTCCAAAGCACAACCAAACCATAAGCAAGCGCATCTAGAGAAGATCATCACGCTTTCTTGATGAGAAATGGCAAGGCACCTCTATCATTGATACAGAATTTGCTAAATAAGGAATGCAAGAGCACAGCCAGCAGGAGGCCAAAACTCAGGGCTAAACCATGCCAGCATTTCATAGCGAATCATTGGAAAAAAGGACGAGTGTATTTAAGATGAAGAACATGTATTTCATTTCCTCTTTTTCAACATAAAGAACCATCATAGCATTCAAGTTTGTCCTTGGAAGCATTGTAATGCAATACTGTTTTGCAGTTTATGTTATCAGTTGATGATTAATAACCGAGACACAATGGAAGCGAAGCTAAAGTGGCTTGGAGTGATGCAGTCATTAATATTTATATCTATAGCTAAATACAAACCCATCCCAAGTGCCTTTGATACTTTGTGTGTTCAGCTCATATTGTTCTGCTCCAGTCAGTGAATTTCTGGTTGAGTCTCATTTCCATTTTTTTTTTTTAGCTCTGCTGTGGTTGCCAAATCTGTTGTGACCGGCTATTCAGTTTTATTTATGTAGCACCAGTTCACAAACCAGCCATCTCAAAGCACTTTATATTGCGGAGTAAAGACCCTATAATAGTACAGCAGCTGGAATCCAAACAATCAGATGATCCCCTATAATCAAGCATGATTGAGGGTTTGAGGAACTACCTTTCAACAGGAAGTGTCTTCTGGCAGGACCAATGTAAGGGGCAGCCATTTGCTTCAACTGCCCGGGGGCCGCAGCGAAGAGTACCAGAAAAGACAGGCATACGTTTCAGTAGTTTTTTATACACATTTTTACCAACAACATCAAACCATATGCAAGCACATCTAGATATCTGATCAAGCTCTGTTGATGAGCGATAGCAAGGAAACTCTATTGCTATAGAACATACCAGCATTTCATAGCAAAAGAATGAAAGAAAGGGTACGTGGCAAAGAAGAGCATATTTAAACTGAAGGACATGAATTTCATTGCCTCTTTTTCAACTTAAACAGGCAGCACAGCATTCAGGTTTGTCCTTGGAAGCATTATAGCGCAATGCTGTTCTGCTGTTTATGTTATCAGTTGATGATTAATAACCGAGACACAATGGAAACAAAACGTAAACAGCTTAGAGTGATGCAGTCATTAACATTTATATGTATAGCTAAATACAAACCCATCCCATGTGCCTTTGATGTATTCAGGTTTGTTCGAACATTTTTTTGTTTGCTTAAATAATAACAATATGAGTGATGCTACAGGGTCATCTGTCATGGGCCTTGGTTGACATTTAATTTCTGAATGTTATACAGTTATTCACGCATGTGATAAGTGACAGATTACCTGCTCTTAGGTGAAGGACCTGGCGAGGTTTAAGCCTATGCAGAGGCATCTCTTTCTGTATGACAAGATGCTGCTGTTCTGTAAGAAACGAGAGGAGACCACCGATGGACATGAAAAGACCCCGTCCTACAGCTTCAAACACTCACTCAAGGTCAGATAAAGATGGGGATGTGTGTGGTTAAGTGTGCATAGCCTGCACTTTGTTTGAATGAATAAGCCTTTATTTGTCACCTGCAGTTGCCTGCAGCGAAATTGGACATATCAAACACCTTCTCATTTAAAGCTGATTAAAATGACATATTGGGATCTATTGAACTCTACTAGATTAGAGTTCAATAGGTCCCAATAGTTGTTATTTATCCACTACTGGGGCATTTTTATTTATTTATTTATTGAAGAACATCAACTAATTTGTCTTCAATAGTTCCTTTTAAGTATTGCAGATAAAGATGATGCTTAATTTTAAAAAGTACCAGATAATGCACATAATTATGCAAATAATAATTAAAAGCTGTTTTATAAAACAGACAAAAACCAAACAGAGTTCATTAATGAGAACGTTTCAGAACCACTAGGATAGAGTAACCCTATTAATACCATTAAAATACATCATTTTGGACTTAATGATGGTTATTTGAAGCTATTCTACTGTTTTTTTAAGGGAGCAAACCTTTTAACTGAATATTGCTAAATAGCCAGTGGCATCAACTAGTAGTTGTACAGACTTGTTGCCTGTGAAGTCCTGTAGATAGTAGAAAGGACGTCTAAGCCTCAAAGTCTGTAATAGTTTAATTTAGCTAAAGATATAAGATTAATTCAGCTAAATGCATTTGTCGTATTGTGGGTGAAGAGAGGTCAGCAGTTAAGCTCATGATTACCACTATTATTAGTATACCCCTACTTGTTATTATGATAAATTCACAGTTGGTATTTAAATAGGAATCTCAAAGCTTATTCACATTACTTTATGGCATGGCAATATTTTGGGAATACTGCTAGCCTGAGACGTTTAATGGCTTTAGTTTATGACTCTGGTTTGTTAATGTCCTGGAAAATAATTATCACCTTAAGTGACTGTTATACTTTGGGAGCGTTGTGCCGAATAGCATATAAAATGCGTATTTATTGTGTGACTGCTAATGAAAGAGTTTTTTTTCTGTGCATCACTTGACAGAGTTCATCTCTAACATACTGAATCTCAGTGTCTGTGTCCTGTTTCTGTTCAGATGAGTTCTGTGGGGATCACAGAGAATGTCAAAGGTGACAGCAAAAAGTTTGAGGTTTGGTACAACGGCAGAGAGGAAGTTTACATCATCCAGGTATGTTGGTGCAACCTTTCCTTTCTGCTTTATGTTCAGATTCATTCAGCTTACCCTTTCCTCTGAAACTGTAATGGAACCCAGCTCACTTTATTTATTTGGAGCAGTACTACATTTCTACCTTTTTATTTCTGATTTTACTAAAAACATCTACTTCTGGTCTCTTGTCACATTTCTTTTGTTTATTAGCTATTCGGTCAACAGGAGCCTTCAAAATTCAGTCCTCTTAAACTGTATTAGGCCATTCTTTTAGTAAAAAAAAACAACAATTTTTGGTTTCTTCTGCTTCCTGAAACCATTAATCATGTCACAACCTAAACAGTTTCTTGGCAGCTGGTTGCGGGACTTCTTTCTAAGCTTGGAAGTTACTTTCATGTTGCTGGGTCTGAAATACCAGCAACACGCTCAGACAGAAACTGGTTCACCCGAAAGACAAAACGCCAAAACACAAACTTAACAATGTGGTGTACGCTGTACAGTGCAGCGAGGAATGCTCAGACCTCTACATTGGAGAGACCAAACAGCCACTTCACAAGCGCATGGCACAACACAGAAGAGCCACCTCCACAGGACAAGACTCAGCTGTCCATCTGCATCTTAAGGATAAAGGACACTCTTTCGAGGATGCCAATGTTCACATTTTGGACAGAGAGGACAGATGGTTTGAAAGAGGAGTGAAAGAAGCCATCTATGTCCACTGTGAGCGACCATCTTTGAACAGAGGCGGGCGTTTACGACACCAACTCTCTGCCATCTATAATCCAGTTTTGAGATCCCTTCCCAGACGCCTTAACGCCCACTCACATCCTGGGCCATCTGACCTCAGGAATTCGCATGATAAGGTGGGGCCAGATTTCACAATGAACACACCCGAAACTCTGGCTGATTGGGACCCACGCCCAGTTTCACACCTTGGCTCAGGCGATTAGAGGATCATCAGGGGTCCTTTTGTCCCTCTGTGGGGGGTTACTCCCACTAGGTTTATATCTGGGACTCCCCACCATTTGACCTTAGAACTGAAGAAGCTTCTCGGATGAGAGGTGAAACGTCTTCAAGTAACTTAAAGAAGTCCAGATGCTTTTCTTTGCAAGCTCCTTTGACTACGATGACCTGGATGACTGAGAACCTTCACAGACACATTGTAGATAATAATGACGGAGGCTAGGGTATTTATGAAACTGCTACATATGTTTGTGACTGCTTTTTAGAAGTCTGTACATTCATGCATATAAGAACTGGAAAATGATATCCTTATGGCAATGAATTCATATAAAGCATAATGTGTCTATTTTATTGCTTAATGTGACCCCCTGATGTAATTTCAGTGAAATATTCTTCCTGGAAGAAATCCATGATACACAAGGTGTGCTCTTGGGGGCAGTGTTGCACCACACACCTCTCCAATCAGTTTCTCACTCAGCATTAATGTTAAGATGCTTTTGTTGTGTATATGTGCTTGATTTATCTTTGTGTGTATCTATGTATGTATTTATTCCTCCCTAGGCTCCTTCCATGGATGTGAAAAATATGTGGGTGTCAGAGATTCGGAAAGTTCTTACAGGCCAGCTGGAAGCATGCAGAGGTATGTACACACACACACACACACACACACACACACACCTTTTCATCTGAGAATAATTCTGTTCGTCTGTGTTACCGCATCTTTCACAGGATCACACTTCAGTCCCAGCAGGTGAAGGATGAAGTTTCCTCTCTGCTCGGATAAGTTCACCTGTTAGCATCTGTTAGATTAGTTAAATCATAACTTTTTGGTTTTAGAGTGAAAACGTTTACACTCACACATTCTGCTGTTGTGCCATTGTTATTTTTTTAACGTCTTCATGGTACCTCGTGCGTTGATGCACACATTCTAACGAATGAATGAAACTCAGACCTTGAATATATTTATTAGAACTTAAATATATAAAATGACATCAAAAGAAAATCCACATCAAAGCAAGAAGATGTGTGGAGCTTGCATGTTCTCCCCGTGTCCTCCCACAGTCCAAAGAAATGCTTGTTGGTGTTTCTAAACTGCCCATAGGTGTGCATGTGAGAGTGAATGGTTATCTGTCCCTCTGTGTTAGCCTTGGTGACATGTAGCCGTTCTACAAGTACACTGCATTAATACACCATGACAAGCTTTAGCTGCTACAGCACCTTGTATTCAAACAGCTGAGTACTGTCCTTAAAGGATCAAGCATTGTTTTTGACTTAAGTCTTCTGTAGTTTTAAACCTTTATTTAGGTTCTGACCTGACATAAAACTTACATGAAGTTCGAAGCAGGCAATATAATTTTGTCTGTTTTTATACGACTTACATGAAACAAGCAGTGGCTCGCTTCTATATCAATTTTACAACAAGCTGTTTTTTGATTTTATACAATGATGAAGAACTGAACTGATGAAGAATGTAGAGCACAGCTGTCCCAAACATTCACACTGCATGCTGACTAAATGACCCAGATCATTTAGTCAGCATGAAGTTCAATCCTCTATAAAAACATGAACAATTATAGTTCTGTATACTGGCTTCTATGATAGGGGTACCTGTTGGTTTGATTAACTTTTTTTTTTTTCAAGGAACATATTTGCCTTGCTCTCCATTTTTTAACACACTGTGTCATTAATGAAGGCTGTCAGAAAAATGATTTATGTCATCAGTTTTTTTATTTGCTATCGAGCGCTTCTTTTTGTTTCTAATCATGTTAGATTGCTTAGTAGATGGAATTCCATCGAAGACATTAATATATCATCAAACCTCAAATAACCATGTCCAGAGCCGCTAAAAAATGTTGTATAGCATACAAATTGCAATCTAGGTTCTGGTACTTCTCAAATCCAAATCAAAAATCCTGACCTCATTTCAATTTGGCTGATCTCCTCTTCAAAGTCACCTTTTAGCACACCTCGAGACGGCAGCAGCTATTGTAAGATTATTCTGTGGAAGCCCATTTTCTGTCCCCGTGGGCCCATGAAATGAGCACTGGAACTGTTCCAGTGTGGCAAAGTGGCCAATCTTCAATCTGAATTATATTTTGGAAAAGAGAAAAAAAAAGTAGTTAGTAGCAGTAGTGGGTAAGTCAGCTGGTAGGTGAACATTGTGTTGATGTGGGCAAAAAGTCCCTGATTTCAGTCTGCTATGTGCTATTATGTTACAGTAGTGGTACAGTTCTTTTGCGTTGATAGTCTTTGGATAGTCTGTCCAGTTTTTTCTTCCAGGGAGAATCTGATGTATCTCATGATCATCCGACAGCTGTTGGATCTTTCGTGTATAGTTTGAACAGTAAAAATCATCAGCATCAAAGTCTGGTCGTTTTGACACAGAAGTTGATGCTTACTTTTCATATTAGTTCAAGTGGTCAGAACAGAACTTGATATAAAAGTGTGATGAAAAAGTGGACGCAGGAATGGATGTGGGAAACAGATGCAAGAGAAGTTGATCCTAAAGGGTAAATCAGAAAAATTATGCTTTATTTTTTGTATTCTCTTTTGCTTTTAATAGCAAACAAGCAACATTATGATAGCACTTTATATAATGTATGATATAAATTGACTGATATATCTAAAATTAGTGGTTCTCCTTTAATATCTAACAATTTCACTGGCTGATTTATTCAAATTAATTCATCCTCTTGGCAAAAGTACTAAATATTCTACAGTTCCAGATGCTCAAGTGTGAGAATTTAATGCTTTTGTCTCCTTTACATAATTTGAAAATAAATAAATAAAAAGATCTCTGCGGTTTGTTCAGACAGAATAATTTGAAGAGCTGACTTTAGGCACTATTTTCTGACATTTTATAAACTCAAAAAAATAAAAATAAAAACCCCAAGACAACAATATGTGCTGAAAATATTTTTTATCAATATGAAGCAACACCAAACAATGAGAAAACACAAAACCACATAAATACACGTACCCACAGCAACCCACATCCCTCTCTCTCTCCCTCAGTCCTTTCTGTGCCAGTCAGTTCTGCACAGTTCTACTCTGTGGTCCTGACTGACAGCTAAGGCACACTATGTGAGCTGCACACTCTGCCCAGCTGACAACCTGTGTGTACCTGTGTCTGTGTGTGAGCAGACTGGCTAATAGCACACCATTCCTGTCATGAAGCCTGGAGAGTAGAGGCTGTAGGAGGCTCTGACGGTCCAGCGCTGTGAGTTAAACCTCAGACTCCATGCGAGGAAAGACAGAGAGAAGGAATGAAATTAGTCCAGGAAAAAGGGAGGGAGGAGATTGAAAGTGATGGGGAGAAAAAAAAAGAGGAAGATGGAGGAATGATGTGAAGAGAGAGACAAAGAGACAGAGATGGGCAGAGAGAGTCCAAAGGGATTTTCAGAGTGGAGATGGAGGTTGAGAGGCAGCTCAGAGGGAATGAAGGGAGGCTTGAAGGGATGAACATGAAAGGAAGGAGGGGCAATTGTTAGAAGAGAGGAGGGTGGCGAGAAGGAGAAGAGGCATAGCAGTCATCTCAGCTGTGTGCTTGAGAGAAAAGGAGGAGAGATAATAGATGTGATAGGAGAGCGAGAAGAGGAAGGGCTGGATTATAATGTGACTGATTTAAATCATTTAAATCAGGCCACATAATGGCAAATAGGGTCTTAGGACAAAATTATTTAAACTCAAGGTCCTGCTTTTTCTGGCACTTTCTACCAACAGTTAAAGGGCAAAAATTTACTTTAATAGTCATTTCCATGATAACTGAACTCTAGCAATGACCACTGTGTTAAAAACTGGAAAGTTAAAAGTTCACCCTTGATCTATTTCCAAGGTCAAGAAGTATTTTATGCACTACAGAAAGGTTTTATTGTATATTTTGGTGCGTACATTCTACAATAAATTATATTGTCGTGCTTACTTGGTCAACTTTACTCAGTGAAGTCTAAGCAGAGTTTAGAGTAGAAATAATTTTGCTTTAGGAGGGAAGTAGAACTGAACTGCTGTTCCATGCAAGCAAACATAATCTGTGGAGACCAAGGCACACAAGTCTTTCACATGATGAGTCGTGATGGAAAATCATTTACTTGGTGAAGAAAAATGTCTTTCTGTCTGCACAGCAAGAAGGGAGGCGAGTGCATGTCTTCTGGTCAATGACTATGAAAAGGCTTCATGATCACTATTTCAGAGATGTCAGCACACCATGCCAACCCTGGGTTAAGCTCAATAAAATCATAAAGTCAGACTGTAGTCGAGAAAAAAAATGTAAAAATGAAGTGAGGATATTTTTTGGACTGATTTAGAAAAAAATCATCCCGATAAGCACAACATATAGGGGTTAGCCTATACAAACAGACCAAGTCATACCACTGTGTTATCTCACAGGTTTTTAGGTCTCTTATGGTGTGGCATCTAATGGAACAGTATTTAGCAGGATGATGATCCTAAAAACCGAACAAAGGAACCAAAAGTGCTTTAGATGTAGAAAGATGGCTAATTCTTGACTGACTGATCTCACCAACCAATGTGCCCATTAGTTAGTTCAAGCATAGCCTTTAAACTTCCCATTACACATCTCATATACCAGCTATTACACAGTTGCTGTTGTCTCTGCAACCTACTTTGCAAGTCAAACGTACCCATCTCCTCCCTTTTACACCATTTCTGACGTTTGCGTATAGTGCATATTTAATACTTCCTGAGCTTCTGAAGAAAACAATCGTCTTTTAACTAAAGTGGTCCTAGCAAAACGGCTCATTGGAAGCAACTGTGATTAGTGATTAAAAGAATGTCTTTATTTTAGAAAATGGCAGCCGAATTATAAGTATGGTTAAACAAAGTTTTTGTACCGCTGGAATTAGCTCAGTATGTATCTTACCCTATATTCGTCTAGATCAGGGGTCAGCAACCTTTAACACCCAAAGAGCCATTTGGACCCAGTTTCCATGGAAAAGAAAACACTGAGAGCCGCAAATACTTTTTGACATCTAAAATAAAGATAACACTGTTTTGCTTTGTATAAACAACTAAAGTGTTTTGCTTATGAAATACATTAAGTCCTACAGAGAAAATAACATTTTATTTATGGAATGAACACATTTTGAACTAAACTAAAAATATAACAAAAAGGAAACAAAAGCTGTAGTGAGCCGTCATCCTTATGTCACCTTTGGGATTTTGCAGCCTGTAGCGGAGCCTTGATCTGAATATTAAAAATAATTGGAAAAAAGCACTATGCTGCTAAAAAATGAAAAATAAGTATTTGCAAAATATCTGCATAAACATTTATTTTACGTGGTTAATGTGTGTGGCAGGGCGTGGTCTGCAGTGCCGCTGCAGGGGAGGTGGACATCTGCAATCAAGCCTCGCCGGCTTAAATTCTGTGCTCTCTCTGCTGTTGTGTTGGTGTGTGTCGGGCTGCGAGCTGCAAAACTACAGCTGGCTGTATGGCTACAGCAACCATGTGTGAAAAGTAGCCAATAAAGAAAAAAAGCATGTTCATGTAAACATCGTCAGGTGGTATGTTGACAATGGGACTTCTGTTCCCGACCGTCTGCGCACAGCGCCTGCAGAGGCGTGAGCGGTGTTTGTTTTTACCACTTGGCCTGCCTGGGGTTGAAAGTCTGCACGGCATTTCGGCAGGTATGGTTTCTGTGAGTGTGACGCTTATTTTGAGCGATGAAAAATAATAACATAGTTTTATTTTTATATTTCAAGATCACAATAATCTTCCAATTTAGAACTACAAGTTAAAAAGAACTAACACAAATAAAATACACTTCAGTTAAATACTTATAATTTTTTTCCAAACCACGTGGAGCCGCAGTATAAGGACTAAAGAGCCGCAGGTTGCCGACCCCTTGTCTAGATGAATGATAAACATGGAGGATGGAGTGTGCATCACATTATAAACTTTGCCATATGCATGGTGTTACTCCTCATTTAAACTCTTGCTGCTGCTGCTCTCTTCTCAGACTGTCTACGCACAATATGACTAGCCTTTATGAATAAAACATCACTTTGTCCATGATGAAAAAATAGATGCTTTTTGCTGAGTACAATATTCGGTGCTATGCTGAGTCTGCACTTCTCCGACAGGCTCATTGGTTGCTTGGTATAAGAGGTAACAAGCCAGATCATTCACAGAGCTTGGTATTTCACTTATGTGAGCTATCCATTTGGCCAAGGCAGCACCTCTTGTGTACAGTTATGTTACTAGATGCTTCTCTAGAGACTTCCTGCCTCAGAGCAGGATTCTTGTGGCAGGCCAGAATTGTTAACGTTGCATTTATGAAGTCTGTTGATTAGATGTAGGTGATGTCTGAAGCTGCATTCCATGAACTTAAGTGTTTGGATTTTTCTTTCTTTATAGAGCCCGAGCAGGATTTCAGGATATCAGTCCAGTAAAAGCAGCTTATAGAGTTGACACAGCATTCTGGGAGAATTTAAGCATTGAAATAACTCATGAATTATAGAATAAAAGCTTCCAGTTGTAAAAGATGCCAGCAGCATGGCTCCAAAGGATAGGCACTGGAAGTAAAGCTTGAAACCTTGATTTTTTATAGTTTTTCAGAAAACTAGATGGTGTTTTGTATCTTCTTCTGTCTTGTTCTTTTCTGTTTGGTCTTTCTGATATCATCTCTTGACTTGTGTAAAGAGGACTTGTACTGTTGTAGTTCTTCTGCCGCCATGTATTCAGTACAGTGCAGGACACAGATTCAATAGGACCAGACACCAGTGGAGGATTACAAACAAGACACAGAAGCCACCTCAAGGCCTGCATGACATACAAAATCCACAGTGTGGTACCGAAGAAAATATTTGCTAAGAGAAAAATAATGAAACGCTGCCTCTGCTCTGGACAGCAGGAAGAAGGAAACATCGACTGCTTCTAACAGTTAAGATGGCAAAACTGAGCAATTTTGTTAATAAGCAGAGTTTTAATGAATTCAGCAGCTTTTTTCTCAAAAGGGAAAACAAACACAGGCACAGAAAATGGCGACCTTAGAGTAGCAGAATATTTTATGGAAATGCTATCCAAGCCAATTCCTCCTATTCCATTTACCAATCATATTTTACTCATTTACTAAACCAAGTCAAAATCCCTCACGTACCAATGAGCAAAGTAGCTTTGAGCAATGTTTGGGGCCAGATGCCTTGCTCAAAGGTAGCGATTCCAGCAGCAAATCCTTGTTTTAAACCTCGCAGTGCTCCAGTTTGACCATCAGTAATTTTCTGTTTCTCTTACATTCACAGAAGCCAGCCAGCTCAACATCTATGGGGCCCCTATGAGGTGAGGAAACAGAGAATCACACAAATTAGAAAAAAAAACAAACAAAAAAACCCCACAAATTAGAAATTAATCAGCAACCATGATGACCATGCTGCAGAAAATCTGAAACCTTCTCTCTGAATCTGAAAAAAATCTGCTCTCAGAACAGGGATGGAAATGACAAGTGGAAATCTTAGCTATTTCAGTTTCTCACTGATCTGTCTACTCTCAATAGGAATGTGCGGAAGATGGCACTGAAACACTCTGATTCATCAAGCCCAGAGTCAGGCTTCAGGAGGTCCAACCCCAGCCCTAATATGAGGCAGAAGAGAGGTGAGAGCTCACTTGCCAAACTAACCAAAAAGTCAGCATCTCGTATTACTTCCAGAATTGAGTAAAATGAACTGTAGATGGGGTGATGTGTGAACCTTGAGATTTCAGATTGCAGTCTCCATGGAGTTATTGTAAAATGGAAGAACGGGCAAGGTTACAGCACATAGCCTCTCATGCTAACATGCTGTTCATGCACACATAGTCTCCTCTAAATCTCTGTGCTGTACTTCTGCATGTAGACTCTTAGCCAAAAACAACCTTTCCACATGCAGTTAGGTCAAAAGCATACAGAGAAGCTGTACAGCCTCCTCACACAGAGATGCACGCACTAACACAAATACAATGCTGTCAGCCGCAGTAGGGGATAAGATAACAGGTGCAATTTCAAATTGTACCTGTCTCCTGTGAGAAAGCCCTCTGTGCTGCTTTCTAGTGTGTATGGCTATCAGCAGTCTATCAGCAAGGGTTGTTGATCAAAGTTGTGTCTGTGTGTCTGTGTGCCAACACTAACTCAAGGTGACAGGAAGCATCCCCTATGGCCAATTCCAGGGAGCCACCTTGTCTCTTAACACCCCTTTTTTCTGTCTTTCATCAGTTCTTCCATGTCTCACCCCTTTATCCGTGCTATCTATTTATCTATCACTTTCTTATCTGTAGCCTTTCTACAATGCCCTTTATATCACGCCTTATCTTGTCTTTTCAGTTTCCCTTTATTACTTTAATATCTAAAGTTTGCTGCATAACATCAATATATCAAATTATACTTTTAAATATGCAGCAAAGGTCCAGTAATTTTACAAGGCTGTGAAATATGCTGCTGAAAAGACTGTTGATCTGCATGCAGTCTAGCAGTAGCTATCCTTGTGATGGAAATCTGTTGCCAGCCACAACTGTCATGGTGTCCCACGTTGTCCTTCATTCATTCTGTTTGTTTGACACTATCTTACTCTACTGTCGTTTAAGACATACCACTCCTACCTGTCCTACCCTCCTGCCAGTATTGTCAGCTGAGTGCCTTTCTACTCACCTCTTTCCACTTTGCCAATCAGTTACCGTTGATTAGACACATCATTTGTCAGAGTGGTCTGCCAAAGTGTTGCACTATTCCTTAGTCTGCTTCTTAACCCTGAGTAAATCCTGGAGTGTTGTAAGCTCCCTTTTCTTAGCTGCCTGGTATTCTATTGCTTGTGAAAAAAACTCGAGTATTAACCTTGCCTTTTTTTTGGTCAACGTGAAAAGGGCCATATCTGTGTTTGAGCTCAGGACCTTCTTGCTCTAAAACAGCTGTGTCAACCATTGACCCACTGGGACTTTCTCATTATAATAGAGTGACATGGCAGTAAAAGAAGCCTGACTAGAAGTCTGTATCATTATGAGATGAGCCATTAATGGAGCCAAACCTTTGTGAACGTTGCATTTTAGTGGTTAAACTAGAACTTACAGTGGAGAAAAGCTTATTAAACCTCATTATAGGATAAAGTCATTACATTTTTGAAGCTCTTTCTATCAGATCTGATTGAAGGTTCTGGCTCTCTATTCATTCAGATAGAGACTTTAAACTAAAAAAAAACAGCATTTTTCCCTCGAGGCATTACCAAGTTGGCTCCTAAAAGCCAAATCTTGCTTCTGCAAAGACTTTTGTCATGCATTGGCGTTACAGTCTAGCTTGTCTGGACCTAGGCAACACATTTGTGCAAGGAAGGTGCTGCTCACTGAAGTGCATGTGTTTCAAATCCGTAAGCTGCGATTTCCCAGATACCGAGAGTACCTCTGGATCCTCCCTTCAGCTCCAGAGAATTTTTCGGGGGGTGAGTCGAGAGTGTGCCAGCCGTTCCTGTGTTTCCTGGCATTTAGCCGAGCTGAGTGGGAGAGGCATTCTCCATTCTTCAGCTTTTGAAATGATCTAGTGTTATTTAGTCTGACATTGCTGACATTTTAGTGTTAAAACCCTCTAGAGACTGTTTTTGGAAAGCTATGCTTCTGGATATAAGAAAATCAGAGTGATTCTGACAAGGCCTCAAATAGACAGAATAATTCAAATTTAGCTGGTATAGTGTCGACATACTCTTGGAGTGAGTGGGGGCCGATGTCAAAAGCATCCCCTAAGTCCTAAAACACCACTGAAGGTGTGGTTTGCCCTACAGCATTTTTTCAAAGGTAGGTTTCAGTAACTTAGTAAGTGTTCACTGTTTCTGCTTTCTTTTTATGGATTTTCTCCACCCTGCCATGCTCTCACACTGAATTTTCTTTACCACTCGCACAGTCCCAAATGCTAGCAGGAAGTTAAAGGTTAGGGAATGCTGACAGTGGCTGCTGCTTTGGGTATCGCCCTTCAAATGTGAGGCTGGCCTCTATTATAATAATAATAATAATAATAATAATGGATTGCATTTATATAGTGCTTTTAGAGACCCCTCAAAGCGCTTTACAATTCCACTATTCATTCACTCTCACATTCACACACTGGTGGAGGCAGCTACAGTTGTAGCCACAGCTGCCCTGGGGCAGACTGACAGAGGCGAGGCTGCCATATTGCGCCATCGGCCCCTCTGACCATCACCAGTAGGCGGTAGGTGAAGTGTCTTGCCCAAGGACACAACGACAGAGACTGTCCGAGCTGGGGCTCGAACCAGCAACCTTCCGATTACAAGACGAACACCCAACTCTTGAGCCACGATCGTCCCACATATTAGAAAATCAACCTGTCTGTCTCCTGGCATCCATTGTCACCTCCTGCTCTATTCTCTCTTTCCCCTACTCTTTTATGTTTCTGTCTTGTGCTGTTTACTCCTTCTTCTGTCAGCTTCCAGCCATTTACTTTTCATCAGTCATCTCTCTTTAATTCACTCTGTGCATCCCTTTTACTTCTCTTTAGTTCTCACATTCCTTCTCGTCTTTGATTCTTACTCAGTTTTCCGTCCTGGATTCCTTCTAATCCCATCTATTTCTTGTTGATAATGCTTTGCATTGAACTGTTATCTGAGTGTAGTTTTATGCTATGAAGTTTTCCTAGACAGACTGAGCAAACAGAAACACTTTGCAGTGACATCTCAGTGCTGATGAACTGCTTTTCACTAACGATTACCCAGAAATCACAGCAGTGATGTACCGTGTGTCACGGTACTTTATCGTCACCAGCTGTTATGTAGTGTGGACCAGAATGTTGCTAAAAAAAATTCCAACAAAAATGAAAAAAGCTACATTTAGCTGCTCACAAGGAGTACCAAAAGGTTCAGTTCGATTCAGTTTTATTTATACAGCGCCAAATCCCAACAACAGTCGCCTCAAGGTGCTTTATATTATAAGGTAGATCCTACAATAATACATACAGAGAAAAACCCAACAATCACATGACCCCCTGTGAGCAAGCACTTTGGCAACAGTGGGAAGGAAAAACTCCCTTTTAACAGGAAGAAACCTCCGGTAGAACCAGGCTCAGGGAGGGGCGGCCATCAGCCGCAACTGGTTGGGGTGAGAGAAGGGTAGCGTTTTCAGATGCCGCATCTGACACAACCCTCAAGGGATTTGTGTTCAAACTAGAGATGTTTTAATTGTTAGGTAAATGTGTAAACTATTGCACCATGGAGTGAAAAAAAATAGGGTTTTAAATCTCATGGCTTCTCATATTTCTGATAGTACAGCAAAACATGTTCTATGGTTTTATCTTCTCTACAGTAATCCCCAGTGTGGTGTTTTCTTAGTGCCATTAAAAATTGCATGTATAGGCAAACAGTGATTAGGTGAAATGTGAAATGTGGTGTTGGCTGGGCATACTTATCCCACACAGTAATTAATAGTGGGCTTGCTACATGCACTGGTTCTTATATAGTGCTTTTCTACTCTTAACTGAGCGCTCAAAGCGCTTTTATACAACTTGCCTCACCCAGTCATACAAGCACTTTTTTCTATGCTTTTCCTATGTAAGTTCTTTCTATCTAACATTCACACATTCATACTCTGATGGATGCATTGGAGAGCAACTTGGGGTTAGCATCTTGCTCCATGATATGTGAAATGCAGACTGGAGCTGACTGGGATCGAACTACCAACCTTCCAATTTGTAGGTGACCTGCTCTACCTCCTGTTGCTTATTGAAACCCATATAAGGGTCCAGCTCACTATCCTACATAATAATAATGATAATAATAATAATAATGCTGCATACAGTGACAATTAGAAAACCTTTACAGAATTAACAGTCAAAAATACAAAATAAAACTGAATGTACAATCTTAACAAGGTGTGTTTTAAGAAATGGTTTAAAGATAGAAACAAAGAATACTGTGAATGCAGTGTGGCACAGAGTTCCAAAGATATGAGGCTGAGAGCTCTGAGGTCCGTGGTAGTCGGACCAGCACATAGTACTTTATCATGCAGACTTGCTTGAGCAGTTAATCAGGCTGAAAGGCTCATTGTGAAGGTGCAGGAATATATACACTTGTTTTAAACTAAATACAGTATCAAATATTTGATTGCAATATTTGTCATGTATTAGCAGCTCTTTTGTTTGAGTGACAGCATGGACTCTGCAAAAGCTGACAACCAATCTCGAGTCTCTGTCTTGGATTTATCAGTAAATCCTTTTTCTTTTTTTAGCAGGACTTTTGCTGATTGCCGACCTGTTTTATTTATCATGTTTATTGTGTATTTAAGATGAAGTAGCTTTTCTGGTCTTCAGTAAACAAAGCTTGATGTATTGATCTTTTGATGGTGTGAGCCATGCACTGCTCCCTTAGAAATCCTCAGTGTAGCCATACTTTGGCGTTGAGAAAGCCAGCCTTTGCTCAGAATAACAATGTGACTACTGACAGTTTCACTTAGTTCTGATGCCATGTTTCCCATGCTTAGAGTGCTACTTGGTAAGCAATGTTCCACTAGAAGCATGAGGCACATACATCTTTCTAATAGGTGAATATAGGGCTTTATGTGTACAAGCCCCTGATGAGTTGTTTAAATCCATGGATCATCTGAGCAATGCTTCATTGGACAAAAAAAAACCAACATACAAAAATATGACATTTTTTACAAAGCATACACTGTAGATAAAAGATGTAATTAACGGTTGCAGCGAGCACTTTTAGGCCCACAGAACCAGAGGCTTCAATTTTATACAGTGCATAGTCTATGTACAAAGGAGTGAACATGGTCAATGACTTCTAATCTGCTTCAGTATAGCTGCTGACCTAGAAGCAGTGGAGAAACTGAAATATTCTTTTCATTTTACAGGGTAAAAATTATTGTGTGGTTATTATAAATATTTCAAGACCCTGAAACATCTTGCGTTTACATGAAAATATGTCAGATTTTGATGGGGTCTCAATCCTTTTTTGCTAAAACTCTTTCACATTCCTTAAAAAATTGTCAATTATTGAGTTTCTCTGGACTGATGGCTGTGGTTAGGGAACTTTAGCCATAGTTATTATCTGAGGAAAGTGGCTCAATGTGTTATGTGTTTTCCAAAAAAAAAAAACCTCTATGAGGGGAAAATTGAACAGATGTGAAGTGAAGACTTTCACCAAAATCTCCATTTTTGTAAGTCTATGTTTTCATTGTTATTGTCATTTATCTTGTAGTATTAGCTTCTCTTCTTTGGACATAGATGATCCATTCAAGGTTTAAGATGGAAGAATTAAGTCCCTCTTTCACTTAGCTTCCTTTGGCCAGTTGTACCGTTTAACTTCAATGTTTAATATGACATAATTTCATATTTCAACAGCACAAAATACAGATAATAACAAATAGTAATAATCTATAGTAGATTCCTAAATATCAGTCTTAGGAAACAATCTGCTTTTATGACAGAATTTTCTGCTTTCCATCATCTGCACAGTAGTTGGAAGAAGGGAACTATTAGATTTGACTGCCTCACATGATCGAAAGCATCTTGGACAGAATGATGATTTTACACTTTGACAGCAAATGATAAAAAGGTTATCTGAAAGTCGAACCGTAAGTGAGTCAGAATAATGAATGAAAGTTGCAGTGTATGTGAGAAAAATCCTTAAATATCCTGCACGCTTTGCATGGAAGATTGCATAAAATTATCTGCATGCCAATGTCACAAAGTGATGGACAATTATGCCAAATTCTTTCAAGAAGTTAATTCTGGTAAACGAGCCACTATTGACTCCGAGTCCAAGGATACAGTACATTAATTTTAATCTGTTGATATTATTGTTGAATAAACAGTTGAAAAAGTGTTGGCAAATATGTCTTGTGGTGTAGTTCAAGTTTACCACATGTGAGAGGAAAAATCTCTTTTAAGTATTTTATTTTCTAAGGTATAAGTTTGACGTAATGAAACGTTGACTCATGGGGAAAAGGTATGTGTCTCCATATGGTACAGTATACTTGCTTCATAAACAACCTGCAAGTGTTTAGTAAGTCTGCAATTCAAGTCAAGACAAGAAATACTATTAGAGCACTTTGACAGCCATATAAACCCTTTGCATCACTTTATTCTTTTCAAGCAACGCTCAAACTGCTTCTTCTTTCTCTAATGTACTAACTTCTGCTTAATCTCGCTTTGCTACGTAGCTGACGCTTCAGCCAGCCAGTCAGGCTACTCGGCTGTTAATGCTAGGAAGCATTTCACCTTGCAAGGACTTTCCAACAGGAGGTCTCTTCCCGCAGGTAACAGCAATATGCCGAGTGCTCGCTAAATCCACCTGTATCGCCATCTTTATCATCATCACTGGCATCTTTGTCAACATTATCATCTGTTGTTTGCTCTTTTTATCTATAATTGCTGTCACGATAATGTTGATCGTAATGATAATTGTCATCATCATGAACGGCAGCAGCATCTGCCCTTTGTAGTTAAGTCTTTTCGCTCCGGTGCATGCCACTTAGTTCTTGCACGGATTTCTCTATGTGCATTGCAGTGTCTGCCATATCTCACACAATAAGACCGCATCTCCATCCACTCCTCTGTCTGTGCTTTTATCTGTTCACGTCTGTGTCATCTGCCCCTGCTTGCACTGCAACAACTGTGATTTAGAAAAGAATGGGATGGAGTTCTGTCGAAGAGGCATGATTTGACAGCAGGTGATGGACAGATGAAGACAAAGAGTAGCTGGGCAGCAATATATGGTGAAGCATTACACGGCATTTCACCTCACAGTACCAAAGCCCTCTTGACATTGTAATATGTTTAAACATATCTGAAGGAAGAAGAGACTTGTTTTTGTTTCACAGCAGTACGACCACACGGGTACGCTGATGACACAGTTGGAGGAATGAGAGAGCAGTTTTGAAAGACAGTCATCTCCAGTCACGTTTAAGTCACTAGACGGCAGACACGTCGACTGATAGAAACCTTTCTTTAAAATTAGTGAAAACTATCCCACTGTTGTGTTGCAGTGATGTTGCATCAGGTAAAACAAAACAAAAAAATCATACTTATTTCATTAGTGATGACTAAGAGGGAATCCTTCTACTTTAGACTTTTGTATCAGTCCAATTTAATTTTTATTGGCATGTCTAAACTTAGATTCTGAAAGTAAAATCTTAGTAAACTCTCAAAACAATCATTTTTCTTTCTCAGTTGCATTTTATGGTCTTTCCTAGAGAATGTATAGATGATTGGTTATTAAGATGGCAGTGCTAAGAAAGACCGTGAAGGCTGCTTTCTCTTTGTCTTTGATTTGCATTCTATTTAATGCCCAGAGTCGCTGTCCATCCTCCTCTTCCTTGTCATTTCGCCTCTTTTTAAAACCCGTTACTAAAGCTTTCTCTCCCCGTGCTTTTTCCTTTCTTCTTTTCCTCCTGACCCCTTTCCGGCTTTAGAACCTGCTGCTAAAGAGGCTGAGGTCCCCCGCCGCTTCTCTCTCACTTCGTCTCTTGCTTCCTCTTCCTCCTCCTCCTTCGCTACACGGCGCACAAAAGGTACCAGCCTTTGTAGTTTCTTCCTGCTCTTTACAGCCTTTTTCTTATTTTGATCACATTGGCTGCGTTGTTACTGATGTGCATCTCAATAGGATGAATTCTAATTATTACAGTAAGTAGTTGTGAAGTGTCAAACAAAAAGGATGCATTGCTATATCGTACATATTTTAAAGTGAAAAGAAATTACATGTTTTGTGGGCTGGATCAAAAAGGAAGAATTGAACATTTTGCATTTTTATTATCATTACAATGGCGGTTGTTTGTTTTCTTTATTGCCAGCTTTTGATTTGATTTGATTTTCTTTGGTCCACCGTACCAAACCTATTCTCCAAAAATACAGATGCAGGGAGAGGTTTGGAGAACTGAATGTTTTCACAGATTTCAGCAGAGATTTTCTCTCCACACTTCTTTTCCTCCAACCAGTTGAGGCAGATGGGCACCCTGTCTGAGTGTGACTCTGATGGAGGTTTTCTTCCTGATAAAAGTCAGTGGTTTTTCACCCCTCTTGCCAAGAGCTGCCCAAGAGGAATTGTAAGAAAGAGCCAGGGTCCACTTTTCTGTACAATGAGAATTCAAGTGAATCGAAACCGTGACAAATTTGTTTCGTATTGAGGTTATTTTAATGTTTTTCATTGTATTTTAAACAGGTGACTAGCTTATAGTGCATTGCCACACACCTGCCAATTTGTTTTGGGGTTTTGTTTACTCAGCTAAAATAGGAAATATAATTAAAGATGTGTTTTAAACATTAACCCATAATTTCACCTATGGAGAAAGGTGGGCTAGAGCTTACCTCTCATTATATCTGAGAGAGCCTAAACATCCAGTCTTTTGTGTGATTTACAGAGTGCCAAACAGAGTTTCTTTGTGTGTCTTTGCTAACAGTAAATCATTTCTAAAACAGAGCAACATATGAGTTTGATCAGTACGTGTATGTGTATCACTCCTGTAAGCTTACAGTGATTCTGACCCACAGCAACATACAGACTTGAATCTACAGCTCACTTTAGATTTCTTGCTCACGTTTCTCTGTTAGCTACAAGCATGGATACATTATGCGTATTAGCTTGCCAAATTAGCTTCCATATGCACATCCCCTGGGAGACGAGTGCACTTCTAGTATCAGTTTGCTGGCTAAATAGCAAATTAGCTGGTCAGCAACTTCACCATATTCTCCTCTCTTGAGATTTGATTCGTGTCTGATAGAGAATTGCTAAAAACACAATGAGAGAAAGAAGAGATGGACGAGAGGTGGGCAGGCATTCAGTACAGATACTTTTTTTAAGCAACTGTAATGAAATAAGAATTTTGATAAGGTGACATTTGGAATGCAGGGTGACATTAAAAGTGGCAATAGAAGTGCAATATCTCTTACGAATACAGATGAGACACTGATTTTCAAGGAGGCAGAGGCAGGAAAAGAATTCAAATTGAACTTTAAAAAAAACTATTTCCATTCAGTCTCACTGTCCTCTTTTTATTGCATTTCTTTTATTATCCCTCATGCAGCTGAGACTGACCGATCAGAGCACTGCAGGCCACAGTGCTCAGCGGAGGTCTGAGCGTGGCTGTTGCTTTTCGGCCTGTATTTTTAATTCTAATCCACACTGTGTGCTAAGCAAGGAACAATATTACTCTATATTGCTTGATATTGTTGAAACAGATATGAAAATCTGTAGCACTACCGTGTAATTTTAATTGCATGCAGCTTTATATTTAAAACTGAGAAATGTGAATTATGAGTAATTGAACATATGGGCTGTATTTTGTTCATCACTCCCTCATAGCACCTAAAACATTTTTGTAAGATAAACGTGTGATTTCCATGAAATACAAGCAGGAGAACAGGTGTAAAAATGAAAATGAATAAAGACTGAATTCCATTTAGAGACATTATTTTTTACGACTCTGCACTGTTACGTCTTCACTGGACAGACCAGTGCTATCATTAATGTAGTTCATAACACTTGTGCTTTTTTCTGGTGTGATAGATATCTGATATGGAAGCAAAAAATAAATAAATGTGGTGTTGAGGCAGTGTTTTTACACAGATGTTAGTGTTACCATGCTGTGTTTCAACATCATGTCTTTATGTTGTGCTTCTAAGGAGCCAGGTTTTATTTTTATTTTTTAAAAGTGGTCTTGTAATAGTTCTTCAGCCCTTCTTAAGGTCCCTCAAAGTTTCTTTGGATGCTTTTTCAGTCATTTTCAGTCCCTGTCTCTGACTGGTGTCAGAGGAATATTTTGGGTTTTTTTTAAAGCTGCTTAACACTGACATATGAATCATTCAAGAATAAAAAAAGACACCCAGTTGAAGGGATGAGCCAGCGTTGTGTCTACGCATAACACACAACTTAGCAAAGAAGCAACTTTAAATTGTATCTTTGGGCATTTTCTTACAAGCAGCCTTTCACAAAAACACATCATTTGTTCCCATTTCTTAATTTGAATCTATGAAAAATGCAAAAGATAACACAGTGTGACAAGCATGAAATAGTATTTCAACAGCATGATTCCCAAAGAGATATTAGCCAAAAATGTGGCATGTGTGGGCTTCCCATGCAGAGAGTCCTCAACACACTTGAGGAAACGGGACAAGTAGAGAAGATAAAGCGAAAGGCCTAATAAGGTATTTAAGTCATGTCATTAAGAAATAGGAGGTAAACATCTGGCCATTCAGTTGATACATCTAATGTTCAAAGAACTGTCAGTAGAAATAGTCTCAGTAGAAGGGTGGATGTGGAGAAGCCATTTTTTAGGAAGGGAGACAGGGAAAAAAGGCTGAAGTTCGCCAAAATTTTACAAAAATTTAACTAAAAATCGGAGGTAATAGGTCTGATGGAGGGATTCATTCAATTTTCAAATATAAGCTGTCGATATGTTTATCAAAGATCAGAAGAGAGGTTTCAGGTTTTTCATTTCAGCCACTGTTCTTGGGGATTTTGTCAAAATTAATTAAATTATGAATGTGTAAAAGTACTGTCACATTTTGATCCACTGTGTAGCCGCCTGGAAGTTGTGTGATTAATTTTTTAGCATCACAATGATCCCTAACACACTGACAGTGTAGTAGAAGAAATGTCTGGAACATGCAGTAGAACACGATCAGTCGTGGCCTATGACTCCCCAGAACTCTAACTCAACATTGTTGAAGCAACATTGTCATTCAAGTCAAGTCAGTTTATCTATAAGCACATTTAAAAACAACACACGTTGACCAAAGCGCTGTACAAACTGGAAAAACAATTGTTGGATCATATTGACAGAGAATGGAACAAAACATAGTCAACAGGAGAAGAAAGCTTGCTTAAGCGACTTCAGAGAGAGAGTTCTTGCACAGTACTGTATCAGTAACTACTTGATATAGTTTTTATCTTAAAAAAAGTTGTAGAACTCTTAATCATTAAGTCCAAGTAACATAAAGTATGTATTGTATGATTGATTGTGTCTATTACTGGTAAAAACTAGGGACATGCATACATGTCAGGGGGATTCAAAGCCAGCTTACTCCCTGCAGTGCACAAATTATCACCAGTGGGTAGAAGACATGTTTCCATCTGCATACATTATGGTTGGAGAAACTCACGTATCAAATATGATACCAGGCACATTATAATATTACATGTGGGGCTTTATAGTACGTCAATCAAAACACATTTTCAGTTTGATTTTGTATGTGCAGATTTGTTTTTCAATGAATCAATAATTATAGATGTTTTGTGGTCAAAGGTCAAATATTTCTCACAAAAGATGAAAAAAACAATTCAAACAACAATAATGTTTGCCAGCATTAAAGATTCAGAAAATACTTTAGTTACAACATATGAGAGATTACATAAGAGTCAGAAGCTACCGGTAACCATGTAGCATGCATTCTCAGGTTTTAAATGAAGCAGCTGCAGCATCAGTTCTATATTCTATTTAATTATGCTGATGGTCATGAATTAAATCCTGAAGAAAAGCATCCATTTCATTTATTCTCCAGCAAAAATAATTTTTTTAAATATAGCTGGAAAGATGGAAAAATTATTTTTTGTCAACTAATTGCTCTCATCTTTAGAAACTCTGTATCCAGGTGTCTATTACTGCATGGAAAATATGACTCTTTTCTTTTAAAAAAAATTAAAGTCATAATGGTCTTAAGATGATTCAGCCCACTTATGGCCTATGTCTAAATGACAAAATGCTTTTTAACAGAAAATAATATTACAGCTTTCTAATGTCTAAAAGGGGCTTTAAAAGGTTGATGAAAGGTGATTTGGGATTATGCAACCGTTTTTCTAATATGCTGGTTTCTCATTAATTCTCTTGTTGCGTGTTATTTCCTCTGCCCAGGTCCCCTCTCTGCTAGCATAAAGAGCAAAAGGCATGAAATAAAGAGTGATCCCACTCCATTTGGTTATGAAGGTACAAGGAGAAAGATGTTATTTCTTGATTGACTGTGCTTCTTTATTTCTGGATGATGTGTTTCACCTTTTGTAGTTCCATTTCGTGCGTGCTTTGGTGACTTGTAGGTGGTTTGCGATGTTCTTTTTGTCAGTGCATGAGCATCAAATGAAATTGGTATCATTTGTGTGTGTGTGTGTGTGTGTGTGTGTGTGTGTGTGTGTGTGTGTGTGTGTGTGTGTGTGTGTGTGTGTAGCTTTTGTGTGTTTTGATCACAGATTTTCCCTGGTAGTTGTTTGGTGTTTTCTGTTGCTTGTTTATTTTTTTCTCTCGTTGATCCTGCATGGATACAGTTGCATGGTTTTCTTATTAGACAGCACACTGACTGGATGTAATTGTGCAACTTTTAGAAATTGTGCTTTTTAAATACAGGTTTTGGGTTTTTGTGGTGCAGTTTAACGGTTGTGATGACAAAATTGGTATAAAGCAGTTGGCTTCCCTCCAGATACATTGCGCGGCGCTATGGCAGCAGTCAGGAAACGTCAGAGTATGACTAGCAGCACTTCTGCTGGTCCTGGTGGCACCTCAGCTGTCCCTAGATCCACTTCCCAACCAGGTAACTACAGGGGAGGATTCATCTCCTCCAGTCACTTGAGAGACTATCATCCTGTGGAGTTGATTTCAATTTTATGTGAAAGTACATTTTGTTTTTTGTTTTGTTTTTTAGTTTTCCTCCTTTTGCATCACATTGACTGTCTTCTTTAAAAACATAAACAGAGGCTATGTCTGTCAAATGGCTTCAAACTACTGACCAGTCCAAGTGTCCTTGTAATGATGTGCTTTCGTTGAGAGTTTTTATTTTTCTACTCCCTTGTTAAATAAAGCTTAAACAAATTTAAGAAAGAAAGAAAATTCAAATGTCAACTGGTTTGAGGGAAGTGGTAAAAACCTTTCATAAACCCATCAAAGGAACATTTTTCGATGTTAATAATTTAACATGATTAATTTCTTCTGTCTTCCTGTGCACATGCTCAGCCTTGTATAATCTCCTCTCTAGCTTCTCTTAAACATAAACCTCTAAATAATCAAAAACAACATGATAACAGCACCTATTGCTGTTTCCTAAGCAGGAACAGAGACCCATTTAGAGGCAGATAAGAAAACATGTGCCAAAGATATATTATTAAATCACAGTTAACCTTCAAATTTTAACTTTGAAGCCTTTCAGACAGACAATCTGTACATGCGACCACATCAGCTCCAAGGCTAAAAATAACTGTTGAATGATGATATATAGATGGGATCTGATGTTGAAGCCAGATACTAAACCAGTAGTGAGAAGATAATGGAAAACCACAGACTTGAAAACATACCGAATGTTTGATATGAGTGTAACAAACAAGTGGTTGTTATAGATCACAAAAGAATTTGAAACTGCTCAAAATTATGCAGAATTATTGTAGGCCATATAAAAATGAGAAGAAAAGAGGCTTGTGACCACATTTTGATGACTATTTTGTGCCTTCATAGATTAAATAAAAAGAAAGAAAGGAGGATAAGAGAGCTTATCACATATGCTGACTCTGGCTTTTTGTCCATAAGTTATACAGCTATGAAGAAAGACTGACTGGACAACGTAGCTACATCATTTCTCAAAAAAGGGGGAGATTTTGCAGCGTTTAGCCTAATTTGCCATACAGAAGAAATGAAGTTCCCCATCAACACTGTGAATATAAATGGATGCTTTTGTTTTCATTTCATTTTGGTTTTTGTGCGTTCCTTATTGTGTTTTTTGTTGTTTTTTCCTTTTTGAATTTTGGGGACTCACTGAACTCAGCATTCTGTCAGAATTCATCAAGCACAAATAAGCTGTTGTGATTTGGTGCGATATGAATAAAATTGAAGTGAATTTACAAATAAGAAAGTTAGTTTTCAAGCAGCCCTTTCTTGAGATGAATTTCAAACCTCAGCAACCGTAAAATGGAGACGGAAAGTAGATGTGCAGTGGAAGAACCTGCTCACCCCACCTAAACCATGAAGAAAACAGACACTGTTATCAAAGTTAGGTCTGATTATCACTACTGCCTTTGGTGGGGTGTTGTGATGGTGTTAGCTGTGACGTCAAATGGAAAATACCTGGTGCTGGTGGTGACAGACTTGAAACATTCAAATCTCCCTTAGTTTTATAGAAGCACAAATTTAATATATAATTCCAA